CATATATCGCAGACTGTATCCTTCATTATCATCAATACTGAGACAAAGAGATGTCAAGATTTTGCTTAAAATCTTAAAATATAACATCATGATGTACATGATTATTTAAATTTGCTCTGAAATGTTATGCTAAACCATTAGACCTACCAAAAAGAGGGTTCTCATAAATGTCACTCCTAATTATTGAGGAGGACTGAAATTCACTTTAATTTCGAGGATTGAACTATCAAGCATTTGCCTCATCGCTTTGATTTTGATTATATTTTCAGTATTTGGCTTAACCGATAAGTAGGAAGTGGGATAACAATGGTAACTTAAGCATAAACATTAAGTGTGACAAATTGCTAGAGAACTTATACTGGAACCATTTTCTGAAATTGATTAATATCGTATTTCCAGTCGTTTCTGAATAGATTTCTTTTTCTCCAAGTTGGAATATATAATTTTCCGGCCTAATGGTTTCTATTGTCACACGTTCCTTCGGGTGGCCGATATATAATATTACGCGTTTCTAAAATACTCATATTACACTGGAATTTCATAAATACCAGAAATAATTCAACTCATGGTCGTTTGCATAATGTAAACAGCCCCTGGTCATCTAACACCTTTCTAGAGCGCCGAAGACGTCACAAAGCGTTCGCTAAAAATAAATTTAGTCCATGTTCCTTATTATGCAGCAGTTGAAATATTAACGTCTATTTACTGCAAAAAACTATATATTTTTGAACTGTCTGTCCACTAGCATTCTGCCAGTTAAGTTAATCTGTTTATTAGCGTTATGTCATTAATGTAGGAGTTTAAAATTATGACCTCATTTTTTAATTATATTTTCGTGTAGAAGACAATACGGTCCGTGCGCTTCTCCTGACACATCCGGTAAAATTATTAAATTGGTCTTAAACCATTAAACTTGGGTAAGCTTTTAACGGAAAACGGACAAAAACCGAAGTCACCCTAAAAATGTAAGAAGTAATTATTCTTCTGGAATGGAGCTGTCTCTGGATCATTTAACAAATATCTTCTTCTTGTAGTAATTGCGTGAAGTTGCTATCTCTCTTTGTTTGCATCTTAATACCAACTATTATCTTTAGATCAGATAGAGGTATGTATTTTTTCCAATATCAGCAGATACATGGGCACTTACTTCGGAGAAAGTTGAGGAGATTTTTACTATGCCTCATTTGTAATAGCAAAATCTGTTCATATATAATAAACAGACATTAAAACCAGTTCCTTACCAGCTTCCTGTTAAGTGAAACATATCCCGGAGGATAAAACGAAGCCTGGCGTTCAATTCGATTTTAAGAAAGGGAAATAAAATGCGCAGTGTTCCACTCTAATGAGCGATTATTTGGGGATATCAAATGCATGTGAGGGATTTTTACCCTCGTTTTCCGAACTGTAATAAATCCTAAAACACATACACATTTCTCTGGAAATGCTCCTATTGATTAATATCGTTTGGTAATGTTGGGTTTGATTTTGTCACTAATCATCTCATATTTTTTAATACAAGAAACTAAAAATTGTCTAATCGTGTGAATAGATATGGAGAGTAAGTAAAATAGAACGCAAATTTTGATTATTCTTTCGTTGTAAGTTGTGTTAAGTTTTGTTGTGTTATAAAGGAAACTTTCAAAATCTTCTAGGTTTTTGCTTGGAAATTCCACCCCGCAAATTCGTTGAAGTAATTTAAACTCCAAATAATCGGTTTTGAACGAAAAATAAACACGCATTCAGTATCAGGTGTTGAATCACTCTTCACAATACTCGTTTTTAACAATTTATGTCGCTTTCTGAAGTTGTCGCACGTGAAAACCCAACTGAGAAGAGCTAATAGGTCTGGAAGCGCCAATGTTGGTCTATATTTTTAGTGCAGAGATAATCTGTCATAATGTAATTATAATTTTCGGGCTGGCTTAAGAACTAACTTTTTCGTCGCGCTATTGAATTATAAACATTTGAGTTGGTATTTTTTTTAATTCACTACGAGGTCATAGTCATACTTGCAAACGGACATTTGTTTTTGGGTTTTAGCAATGCATTCACTTGCAGACCGTCCGTCAATTTATGGCGACTCCCTTTTCAGTTAGGTGTAATTTGTGGTTGAAACAAATCTGGTAATACTTGGAAGGAAAGTCATTATTAATAGAAATTATATTAAAATAATAAAATATATTGAAAATGCGTCAACACAGCTTTGTTTGTAAAATCAATTGTTTGTACCACAAAATGTTCACCTACAGGATTAGGCATCGGCTCGCATTAAACATATTACTACCATTTTGTGAAACATGAAATTTGCGATGTAATAGATGAGGTTGTTAAATAGCACGTTTTCTACTTTATCACTAGCTATTAGTGAATCGATATTATGATCACGCAATGTTTTCTTCGTCTAGCCACATTTTAATTATATACTTTAGCAATTGTTAAAAACCCCTTTCTTCGTCCGACTTATTTTAATTTTTAATTTTAATTATGATTTATTGTTTCTTTAATAACATTTTTGCTATTGCGCTGTTTTAAAAATGCGGTAGAAATTCCCTGTTATATTATTTATAAACAAAGGTTTGCAACGCAGTAATTGCAGTTAAGGACAAATTGTTTTTTTATCAGATCCAGTTAAAAATGTTAGTTAAAGTGGCGGTGGAAATCATTGTGAATTAACAGTTAATCGGTAATACTACCGGTAATCCTGGCGACAGTTCTAGTAAATAGTGACACTGTGAAAAAGGTTGACTTGGTTATGGTTCCAAATTTTCCCAATATTCTGAGTGGGAATTTTGTAAAACACACACAAAGCAACATTAAATGGCAAATAAATTGTAAGTCCTCGGTAAGAACGTTTGGAACATATTCTGGCGAGGCATTCAACAAAATACTCGGATAAGCGTCCGCACTATTCCTTAGATGGATCGCCAGAATGTGCAGTACTTAAGGGTACTTACCTATTTCAGAGATTATTACTATCTACTAATATATGCCTATATTTTGAAGCTAAATGACAATCTTCTTTTGCTCACTCACAATTGTCGAGTTTCGGCTGCACCTATTTCATTTGACTGTTAGCAAAAGTGTCACATACTGTTGCACCATTCACATTAGCTGTTGCATTTACAAGTTTATTCAAAATTAACTTTTGTCGAAACTCATTCGCCGATCTACATAGGCCTCCAAGCCCAACCGCGAAAGTTGAACCTCATTGAGAACTTTCCGCCAACATTCCAGATTTGTTATTTTCGATAATTCGCGTTCCGTTTTAGATGCCTGTCGCTTTAAGAAGCTTTCCGGCTTCCTTTAAAGAGGGTATTCGCAACAATAGTAAGTTTTATTTAGGCAAAAAAGAGCAGCTTGAATAAATAATACTTACCGATATGAATTATCGATTAGTTTTGTTTATATTTTACTGCATTAGAAATCGAATGTACAATACATTCTAACTAGATTCATTAATTTAAGAATTAAGAAAGAAATGGAGATAATTATTAGAGATCCCGCTATCATCATCTTAGAAGTAATCAACCAGTGATCAAATATTCGATGATTTAAGGTAATACTGTAGATATCTTCCTCAGTAAGTCAAATGGTCCAGTTATTCTTGCGGAAAAAAGGGACCAACAACCTGACACATTAACATCGTAAAGTATGTCCTAACAACAAATCGGCTCTAAATATTTGTTTGGAAATCACAGCTAAACCATCATATGAATTATAAATCTCGACGGTTTAAATATTCCGCAGTGCTAATGAATAAAATATGTATCGACTTTTCGTGCCCCATGAAATATATTTATATTTGCCAATTTATTATTAAAGATACACCGATAAATAATTATCAGGGTTTTTAATATTTTGGCTAATAAACTATTAGCGAACACACTTTAAAGTTGTTAAAAAATTCAGGAAAGTTTATGTAAATCTGCTGCTGTAGTATTATTTGAAACTCTATTATTCAATAAGTACAATTTATTGTTGATTCTATTATCATATTTCCTAAACATATGGTAGGCAAATAAAACCAAAACAGGAATCTACGAATTTTTCCTGAAAATATATTTTGATTTATAATTTGATTATAATTCGCTTTAAGCTCATCTCATCAGGTATCAGATAATAGCGCAAAACGGCTTAACCAAGCCACAAGTAATAAGAATTTACTTATGTAAAGTTTACTCAATTTAGTTTCAATTACAAACAGTTAAAACAAATTGATTCCTAAGTAAAGGAACATGCCATCTGTTTTATGTGTTTTCAAAAAAAAAAATTAACCTGAAAAAAGTGAAATTGAAGCTTTAAATGCAAATCTTTAAGCAGTTCAGCCGGCACGTTAATATCGTTACGATATTTCCTTGACCTGACTTTAAATTATCATAAATTGATGAAAACTTCAAATACGTGAGGATTATTGGAAGTTGTTCCTCGATCAATATCTCGAATATTCTCGCGGGTAAACAATTTACGAGATTGTTCTTCTATGGGTAAAGGTCAGTCTTTTTATCGTGACTTCACAACTATACAAGTGACGGTATAAAGTATATAAAATAATACAACTTTATAGAAGTACATTCTTAATAAATTAAAATGCTGAGATCTATATGTACTGAAAAATACCTTATAAAATTTAGATCGTTGTTTAAAACCGCTATAAAAAATAATTATAGTACACAGTAAGACAAATTTATTCATTTTCAGTTCTGTCCTTTAAAGTAAAATTAATGGAACAATAGATAAAAATTTTGGTTTTATATTAACGTTACATAAACATAAGTTTAAAGAGCTATTACTGTTTCCGATTTTAACCTTTTGATTTAACTTCGTTTTTCTAAGAACTTGTTATGTGCAGAGTGAAATCGTGAGTATCTTTTAATTTATCAGCAAGAATAAAAACATATTTAGGTGTACAATCTAATAAATGATTAGCTTCCATAGTGCCAATCAAATATTTGTCTTACTACTATGGATTATTGTCTCCAGGCATGGTATTTTTCACTTACCTAATTACGACCGTGTAGTTAGTGATGTTACCGTCATTTTTCTTTGGTGGTGTCCATGAGAGATTAGCAGATCTGGCTGCGAAGTACGTAATTAATGGTCGGCCGGGTGGGTCTGGAACGTCTGAAATACAACCAATTTCTATTAAGTCTGCTGAAAAACATAATGAAGTCAAGCAAATTTAATTCAAAATAATCTCTTAAAGTTGATAAATGATTGATAATTATACTGTTATACATCAGTCACGGAAATGCCTATAAATTAGGATTTGCATTGGTTTAATATTAGCATAACACTGATAACAGTTTACAGTAAATTTAACGTTTGCCATAATATACATCAGCGAGTAGATAATCAAGTATAGTTTACATGGATTGAAGTCAACTATATTACTATAACCAACATTAATATACGCGTTAACACAAATAGGAACACAATTTAATAACTGATTAAATTTTTCCATTGACCTTATCATTTGCGTACGAATTCTGTCCAGGAAAAAACGCATACGATTTCCTCCTGGTTGTTCCAGAATAAATTAACTTGAAATAGCTGCCCTGCGTTTGAATATTCAAAAACCTAAATTCAATGAGACAAACCGGTTTTTTTTTGCTTTACAAAATATAATTTTAATCATGCCCCAATACTCAACAGCAGATACATAATCGAAACAGCGTGTGCAAAAGACTTGTAAAGTATAAATAACCAGTAGGATTCAAAATTGACATTCCTCTCAACATGTTTAGGTTTGTCGCTTAGGTTTACTTGGACAGTACGGGAATGTGTTTGCTTTTATTGTTCAAATATATTTTTACACAAGAAATAAAACATTGTCAAACCCGCCAAAACGGATATTTTCTACTTGAAAAGATGACGTTCCTAGTAATTTTTCATAAAAAAGCACAGCGGCAACGGTGTATCCAGGCACCGGTAGCTATTTGTTGGGAAACATGTCGTGACGGCATAGTTGCGGTTAGTTTTTAAATTGTTCTCTTCAAAACTTTGAACGAATAACAGTGTCGAATATGCATCCAGTTTACCTTTCTTCGCTAAACTCTAAATACCTCAAAATTTGCGCATGATAGACCGCTAACCAATCGGTTGTTTACTAGTCGCAAATTGATCTCTCTGACAAAGTAGAAGTTGTAAGCAAACGTGAACCTGGTAGCTACTGAACTGCTGCTGATCTTGAATCAAATGAGACTTGTTCATTATCTTGTTGTGCCAGAATTACACTACTCAGTTTTTCCCGGTTTATTGGCCAAGAAAGTGGGCCACTTATTAAAGGTCATCTTCTTGGCCGTCATCGGCTTCACACTTGGATATAGATTTAACAATAATTTGTTGCAATTTCAGTAAAAGCAGCATCATTCATATTCCAGTTTTGCTGTTCTCTGTGACAAGAGTCAAATTATTTGCTGATGCCTACAAGGAAGCGTCTAGTTCTTTTTATTAATTTGCTAAATTTATTGCATAAAGCACATATTTTCAAAATCTGACACATTAAAAAGGAAAAATTAACCTAACACCTAATTCCGTGTTTCAATAATCTGAGACTCGCTGCGAACATCATTATTTCACAGTTAACAAACAACAAATAACTCCAAAATTTCGAGAAAAGTTACACAATCAGCAGTCATTTCCAACATGCTTTAAGTCTACAATAAATCGTACGGTTAACGATCGCAGCCCGATACCACGCTTTTTGCTTACATCTGGTGAATTTCAGTAATTGGCCCAATTTAGTGGCCAATAAATCGGGGAAAAGCGCGTAGTGTAATACGGGCATTACAATTTTTTGAACTATTTGAGTGATCAACCCTTCAGTGGGTTGCTTTAAATAAATATTGTTCCTCTTGAAAATATTTTTTTCCTGATAAAGACACGAATTTCATTACTCATTTTTGATGAAAATGGTACTTTCCTTAGCAACTATTCATTATTTATAGGAATAATTTTATAGTTGTATTTTTTACTCGTTTTTTTCGTTACTCACCTAGCATCAATAAATCATTTTTCCACATCCGGTTTGTCTTCTCTAATTGGCTTATATGTATAATCAACCGATTTTAAATGTATGCTTTTTGAAATTTTCACTCGTTATTTCTTCACAAAAGTACCCTCTAGACTAAAATGTTTTAGTGCAACTTAAAAAAAAAACCGTGACAAAGTTAACGACAATCATAACATCTGTATTACTTCAATCTGTCTGCGTCAGATTTGGAAGTAGCAAAAGATCTAGACTTTTCTGTATTCGACGAGTTTTATCCTGGCAATACTAATCGGAAGGACTATCGGCTGTTGATTTACCGATTCCTGTTAAAACAATCTCTAGTGATAAATTAGATGTTCGATGAAGTGCAATACTTATTTCGAGCAAATAGTTTAACTTCTTAATCAATTTGAACTAAATTGTTTACATGCCATGGCCAATAGATGTTTCGAAATTAATTTATCGCATCTGGCAAGTTAAAACTATTTTCATACTATTAAAAAAAATGGTTTAATATTATAAACCCGTAGGCCTAATACTTCTATTTATGCAACCTTTTTAAACAAATAAAATAATTGATTTTCTTGAATGTCTTGACATTTTTGATACAACAGGGTGCTTGTCTGGAAGTCATTGGCCTACAGGTATCGGTTTCAGTGACGCAAATATTTCTGAAGGTACATTAAAACAGTTGTAAGAAGTGGAATATTTGGCTTTATGATCACAATTGAAATTAATGCATCCGACGAAAGAAATAGGATACAAGAAAGGAGATCACGAATTCCAATACTTTACGGGCCTTCTAAAATTATGGACGCATTTAATTTTAAAATGTTGACGTCTGTTGAAGATTGCAAATCAAAACCTATATGAAGATTTAGATTTCCGTAAATCTAAAGCACGGTTCTTGTTTTACCACCAAGCTAAAAAATCAAATCTGTTTTTCGGTAAGGCAAATTTCTAAATATTGAGATGCCATTTCTTTATTATAAAAGTTTATATTAACTTGATATAACCAAGCAGAACTTATGGTTACACTTACATTAACTTACTAATTTGTTAGCTATCCGTTTCTCGACTGAGTATACTGAATAGCCCAATATCGTTAACAGGCTATTATCGATGTACAACCGATAGCTAACAGTCTGGGAAGTCCATTAATGGTAAGTTTCCACTACTAGCTTTAAGCAACTTAATCTCCTGTTTCTTTTTAAGCTCAACTGACACTATCGTTTGTATCAAGTTTACTGTCTCCTTACGTATTCCTGCTATATCCTTACATACAAGCAATGTCAGTTACTCTAAGATGCAATAAATCTCGAACCAAAAATCATCGAATTTTTAATCAATTAAAACAAAAATATTTTTTTTGGATACGATGTATTATAATATTGAAGTAATCATCTTCAGTGGCAAGCAATTGTAGGATAATTTAAATCTATTTATGGGAATCAACCTTAGAATGGATACGTTTTGGATCATTTTACCATTTCTAGAGATGGGAAGAAAACTGATGGAGGAAAGCAACTGATATTTGTTTTTGAGAAATTGCCAAGTTTTTTTAAATTCGAGAAAGTTCGAAATATTTGAAGTTAGGTAATTTTTGAAGTTAGGAAAGAAAACCGATTATAGCGAGTGATTTTCAATAAGTGTTCAATGTTTTCCAAGGCGAGTCCTCAGGTACTTTTATTATAAAAACTCCATAGGTATAGATATTGGTCCCCATAGCCTTACTTATCGAACTATAGGATATTAAAAAGTGAACTTTTTTTTGGGTTTTGAAACATGAGAAATTTAAATTTTATCTTGATTTTGCTACAAGAATCAAGCGGGATATTATTGAAAAGTTTATCTCACAGTGTTTTTTGTGTTGTAATGTCTGAAATAATATCTTGACGCACAATTAGGTTTAAAGAAAGTTAGTTGGCAAAATAGTTTCACTATTTGAAAAACCCATAGGTCGACAACTTTCAATCAAAATATCTCGAAAACGGTTGTTCGCAGCGACTTTTGATTATGCAACGAACATTTTTGCAATGAAAATATTGTGCAATGAGCATGAGAAAACGCAAGGGTAAGAGCAAAAGCAAGATCACGTTGAAGGTTGTCTTGATTCCAAAAATCGAAATATCAGGTTTCGTCCAAATATCAATATTGTTTCAAAAATTACTCCTGCACATGCCGCAAGTAAGGTCTTTCCTATACAAAGTTTTTGCCTAAAAAATACCTGAGAAATCACTGTTTGAAATATCAAACTCTTATTAAAATACTTCCGGTATTGAATATTTCTTATATATTTATTCATATTTGAAGGTAATATATTTCGTGTTTTATTTATAAAGAAACTGTTTGAATCACAAAATGATTCTTAGGATGTGAGATGCAGAAGATGTGGTAAAATTAACGTTGAAGAAATTTTATGGGTTTACATTGAGTAGTACCAGAGCATTTAATATGACATTTTTTTAACTGAGAATACATACATTTTTCAATAAAACTGAAAACCTATAAAATGCTTTAAATCAGTTACTAACTGTTGTACTAAACACAGCTGTACCGTAAAAAAACATTGTATAATGGTCGATCTCATTTTATAAACCCCGTTGTATTATAGAAAATATATTTTAGAAAATGCAAATTTGATATCCAATAATGTTTTGTTTTAAATATTTGGAATTATTCTCAATTGCTCTTATTCTGCCTTGAGATAAGATTTCAGAACTTCAAACCTATCTATATCCACAGAATCTCCTATAGATCAAATGCTTGATAATATTTGCGAAACGGGTTTTATACCTGTAAATTATTATGGATGGCCGTTTTCCGTAGCAAAATACCTTTGAATCAAAAGTTGTAGTGGTTAATGAATTTAATATATTCAAATGCAAGAAAAAATGTATTTAAAATACAGCTTCGTGTAATTTTTACGTTTAGAAAGGTTTTCACATGTTCTCATAAATTGAGTTGATTATGGTATTCGAAGGAGATGCTACCATGTTGAAAGTGAAGAAAAATGAATATAATTTGTTCATCATTGACTATTGATGTAGTTGATTTCCAAAATCGGCACTGGTTGCAGTGCATTTCTTACGTGGTTGATGGTGTAATTCTCTTCTATTCTTTATGCTTT